ACGATTTATATCTGGATGTCCTGCCAAATCTCATGGGCTCACAGACAAGGTTTGTGGAAGGTGACTGGACTACGGGGGCACTACAGCTAGCTGGGTGTTGGCAGTGGCAGTGACTGGGTGTGGGCGTCACCTGAAAGGGTATATCTCCCTAGTGGGCTCCTTCCTCCTCACTCTGCTTCCCCGGGGTGAACAGCTTTCTTCCACCCAGGACCTTCCACGACGCAGCCAACAATGCAAAGACTGAAACTTCTAAAACGTTAGCCAAAATAAACCTCACTTCCTTTAAGTTTCTGGTGTCAGGTATTGTGTCCCAGCCACAAGAAAGCATCTAAGACACCTGTTTTTTGTTACGTAAGCAGACCCTGGAGTGGGACCTCAGAAAAGGAATTTTTACATAGTGTGTGGAGAAGACAGCCATAGGATAGCAACCCAGAGCCTCCTTGAGTCAAGAGAGATGCAAAAGATACAGAATAATCCCAAGGTTCCTGAGAACAGGTAACACAGTATGTGATAAAATGACTGTGCAGAAGATGATCCTGAGCCCCTGGCCATCTCTCACATCTGGAATTACACTGGCCTCCCTGATAAACTCTAGGGAGAAGTAAAAACTACCTTTAAAAAACTGAGACTGGATTTCCACCACATTTGCTAATGATGGACTCAAAATTGAAATGATGTTATATAAAAGTGACATTTTTTTGTACGGGTGGATTCTGACATGACACACTACACAGCTTTCCAGCCTACATTCCCACTGCTCTACCCCATCTTCTTTAACTTTCTCTTTTTCCATGGAGCACCATCTCAAAGCTCACGGAGGGGCTGGCTGTTCCCTAACTATTCTATCCACTCTCTTCCTCCAACACTTCATTCACTTCTCTCTCTGCCTGAATGTCCTTCGCCAGATTTTTTCACCTGGAAAACACTCCTCCTCCATAAATGTGGTAAAACCTGACCTTTCCCAAGTGGCTTATCCTTAGGAGAGTGACTCACCTTGTCACAGATTTCCATACTAATTAACACATGATTCTAATAACCAAATCAATCCTAGAATAGAAATAGGATTGCTTGCATCTGTCTCCTCTTACTCTCACCATTGTGGGCTCTGAGAAAACTGAGCTGTTTATCTGTGTATCCTCAATGCCTCAGCCCATTCTCTGTGCTGCAACCCAGCCTGTCCCAAAGACCAACAAATAGTTCACAGAGACACCACACATACCAGGCTATTTATCAAGATATTCCATCTAAGCATTCTTCTATTCTGTATATAAATGTCTCACAAAAGATTTAAAAAAGACTCACTGAACCATTCTTAGTAAGGAAGGCCTTAAAAGGAACTAAACTGTGAGTAAACACTCCAGACTCCTCAGGGTTTATGTTATTTTACATTTTAATCTGACCTGTGCATCTCAGTGTGTTCACTAATTTTAACTACTGAGTTCTTATGAAAAGAATAAATAAAAAGTATGTGATTGGTGATATTTTCCCTGGCTGACCGAGGTTAGGTTAAAAGGGTAATTTTCAAACCATCTTCCCCAGGGCCTTAAAGCTGACTGTTGTAGACAGTGATGCTGTCACCTACAGTGAGAGTTACTTTTTCAAATCTCATTAGATTTTTGTTTCAATAGGAAATTCTTTCGCTGTCAGGCTCCAGTCCTCACGTAACAAGGTAATAATATTGAAATGTCTAGCAAGATTTTCCCCTAAGTGCTTCCTTTTTTCCCTATGTCCTTTCCTCCATGCAAAAGGCTGAAATAAACCAAGTGAGCCTCAAATGAACATGAAATAAATGAAGGGAGCCACAAATGAGCAAGATGATTTTAGAGTAGTAACTAAGTAGCAGGATTCCTAGCCAGGAACTCAGCTCTGTCATCCAGCAAGCAAACTCCCAGTGGCCACACTGTATCACTTTCTAGGTGTGGATCATCTGCAAAATGATGGATCTGGGACAAATAGTGTCTAGTTTTCTTACAAAATTCTATGATTCGGTCCTGCGGTTATTCAACCCATTTTTTAAGCACCTGAAATGGGTCAGATGCTACATGTCTTTATTTTGCTTGTTTTTGCTATCTTTACAATGGATTGTAGAGACCATATTTTCAGTAACCTACTTTTTTGGCTACTTTTTACAGCAGTCTACAAAAAATCCCCACCCCAAACTCTTACTGTGCTCCACATTACTCACAACACAAGAACTAGTTTACATTCTAACTCAAAGTTTAAAAATTAATTGCTGGGCCGGGGATTTAGCTCAGTGATTTCACCACCTGCTGTGCAAGTGCAAGGACCCGAATTCCATCCCTGTAACCAAAAACTAAAAAATTTAAAAAATAAATAAATAAAAATTAAAAATAAAAATTAATTGCTAAAATAAAACAATATGCTTTGAAATATTTTAACATTTTTGATAAAAAAAATTTTTACAGTTTATTTTTAAGAATTTTTCCAGTGAAATGGTTAATGGTAAAGGAAAGCTTGAGCAAATGAAGAAAACTGTTGAAAATTTTTTATTGTGGAAATTTTTGTGATTCAGGGCTTCAATATTAGCTTACAATCTTGTGTGACTGTGTTCAGGATGCTGTCATCAGTGACAGAGATGACAATATTCTCTTTGTTTACAACACCAGTCTTCAAACATATACAAGATCTACACATGATTTATGCGTTCATAGTTTAAGCATCAGAACAAACATACAAGTTGAACATTTCTATTCCAAAAATCCAAAGCCCAAAGTTCTCCCAATTTCAAAACTTTTTGAGAGCTAACATGATGCCACTGGTAGAAAATTCAAATGCATAAAACTGTTTAATACACAAAAAATTATTAAACATATTTTATAAAGTTGCCTTCAGGCTATATTTATGTTATATATGAAATATAAATAAGTTTCTAGTTTAAACTTCAGTGTCATCCCAAAAATAATTTATTGCATCTATGTAAATATTCCAAAATTTGGAAAATTCCAAAATCCAAAATGCATTTGATAAGGGATACTAAACTATATACTATATGCTATACTATTCTGAGAGCTGGCTTTTCACAAATAGTTACCACGTTCTTCTTGAGTTTTCAAGCAATAAAAGTAAAAATTATAAATACAAAGAAAAATTACTTCCATTGTCATACACAGGAGGTTGGTATGTTATTATATATATATTCATCTGCATTCACAGAATTGAAGTAGTTCTACTCATAGTAAATAATGCATCTTCAATATCATAAAGAAATGGTTCCCAGGTCCCATGAACAAGTATCAAATGTTCTACAGATACCCCAAATGGGCACAAATGCTTATGTGCATATTTCTGAGAATTCATAGCAGTTATCAGAGTCTTAGAAGACCAAATATCACTGTAAGCTATGTGATATCACTATATTTTTAATGGTATTCTCAAACAGACATCTTCAACATTTTTACCACCTGAATGTAAACTGAGTTATAGGTCTTTGAGTAGTTTACTTTAAGTCACTTATCCTTGATCAGAGATATTCTGAAGATTGAAGCTCAGAGCCATTGATCTATCTCTCCCCACTTGAAAGCGTGTGTGTTATGCTCAAATCATTTCAGTAGTTCATCTACTTCTCAGAGGGCGATTGTATGTTTCCTTTATCAGCCAAGTGTTTTGCTTCCTACCTCATGAGAAACCTGAAGTGCACTACTGCCTCTTACCCACAATTTCACTTTCCATAGCTTCAGTTATCTGTGCTCAACAATAGTATTGTATCATCTCACCAAAAGGAGGCAAAGGACAATACAATAAAATATTTTCAGAGAGAAAGAGATGAAAAGGTGAAAGAGAATGGGTGAGCCCAAATGCCCATTTACAGAATTTTGAATACAGTACACTAGTATATTTGTTTTATTTTATTATTATTTTTTGTTGTTAATCTTTCTGTGCCTGATTTATGTATTAGAATTTAGCACAGGCATGTATGTACAGAAAGAAAATGTAGTTCAGTTCTCTCCAAGGTCTCAGGCATCTCATCCATCTCAGGACATATCTCCGGCAGGTAAATGGGAACTGTGGTAATCAGATGAAAACTTCCACAGTTCTCATCTGCTCGCCACCCCTCATGGATTCAGACACACAAATACTCTATCTTCCCAACTTTCAGAGTAGATGAACTTTTACAGTAGATATACTCTTTGCTCTTCTCTAAAGTAAATCCTTCCTCCTGAGCTTCAGATCCTGCACTTTCTCAAGGGCGTCACTCCAAAAACCCTCTTTCCTCTTTCCTTCAAACATCATCTATCCCTTTGTCCTCTCTTTTGGATTATTTTCACTAACACACAAAGAAGTCATTATTTCTCTCATCCTAAAACACACACACAGACAGACACACACACACACACACACACACACACAATTTCTATTGGCCTCATTTCTCCATTCCAGCATTGACTTCTAGACAGTTCAACCCATGACAATGTGCAAAACTAAATTTCTGGTATTACTGCTTAAACCTAGGGTCCCTCTATATTTCCCAACTCATTTGATAGTAACAGTATTCCTCCAGTTTCTCAGACTGAACTCTTAAAATTATTGTGGAATCTTCACTCACACCCATCTACAGTCTGTTAGGGAATCTTTTTTTTTTATTAGTACATGTTTGCAGTACATGCCATAAACATGAGCTGAGATTAACAACATAATAAGAATGTTATATTTGACAATATAACAAGAATGTCAGAGAATCTTATAACTGGTTGCAGTTTATCTTCCAAGGTCCTGACCAGATTACTTATTTCCCTCTGAAACTTTCTAGGATATTTCTAATTTCATAGAGCTCTCTTCTTTTCTACGTACATCTGCCAGCATTTCTCCTGGGTATTTTAATGCTTGTGAGCATTATCTTCTTAAATTCATGACAAACATGAGCTGGAGCTCAGACTCTCCTCCTCCCACAGTACTAAACACACTAGTGCTTACTTAAACATAACATCTGAAGTCTTTTTCTGCATAATTTCAATAAAATCAGCACAGCAAATAGCACTTACTTTGATTGGTATTGTTTGATGAAATACTGTTTCCTGCATTTGAAAAGCTGTCTGTCATATCCCCAAACACCATCATCAGCAGGGGAAGCGCAGCTCCATGGATAGCAGCAGCCAAAGTTCCCAGCACCATGTAAAATCTGTCAAGCCTATCTGCATAGCGAAACTTAGAAAAGAAAATACAGCATAGGTACAACCAGTACAGTTTCACAGATGGTTTGCTCTATCTTTAAAATATATCCAAAATACAAATATTTTCACATTATCATGCTACCACTGCAATCTAAGCCACCCTTTGCCTTTGGTAAACTACTTCAATAGCCCAATTAGAAATGAACATTCTACTCTACTAAGTTCTGAACTAATTCTCCATATGGAACTCAGTCTGTCTTTATTTCTTATTTGATGTTCAATGAGAATTCTAAAAGTCTTTAATGAGAGTATGGTAGAAACATGGTACATGTATTTGCTGCCCTGGTTTCTAAGAATAGAAGTCACTTTCCATCTTACAGGAACGAACTTGACGTCACAGGCTCCTCTTGGGACACAACTGAGGAAAACTTTTGTCACTTCAAGAAAGTATCTTGGCTTAAAGATCTGATGCCCAATGGATTTAGCATAAACATAAAATGATTTTAATACAATCAGGCCTTAATGAGAGGAAGAAGGGGAAAAATGAGTTGGATACATGCCAAGGAACACTCTTCCTGAGAAGTTAGAATCTGGCCAGAATGAGTGACCAGTGCAGATCTCCTAACTTCTTTAGTTGCAAGCAAGTCATAAGAAGGACGAAAAGGTTTCTCTGAATTCAAAAAGTGATGGGGCAAGAGCACAGTAAAAAGAATGGATTCCGAGCCACCTGGGAACAATTTAGTCCTTCTCTTATGTGACTCAGTGATATCGAGGAAGAAGTCCAGCAGCAAGGACACTCTATAGGACAACTGGTACGGTCTATCAACAAGGCAACTGTATTCAAAATGAGGATGAGACTGTTGTGTACTCAGGAGACAAAATAGCCAAAAGACATCATTGACTGCATTCTGTTTTGAACAAATCAATTGCAAATAACACGTTTTGGAGATAAAATGAAAAACCTAAATATAAATGGAGCCTTATGTATCATTAAGAAATTATTCTTCATTTTGTTGAATACGATCATCCCAGTATGTTTCAAAGGACAATGTTTGGCAGCAAAAATTTTCAAATACCAAATGAAGTAGTTAGACGTGAAATAAATAATTTCAGATGTAACATTTGGCAAAACGTTACTTATTAGCTATAAACAATGGGTATATTAGGGTGAATTTTACTATTATCCTCTTATATGTTTGGAATTTTTATCATAAAACTTGGTGAAGAGAAGATGGTCACAATCAGGCAAAGGCATGTCCCTTCATCCCATCTTGACAGGCATGAGCTAAGAGGAAATGTGGGTATAATGAAGCTGCCAGAGATGAAGACAAAATGTGGAAAGAGCCAGAACTTCATACTTTTTCATAACTGGAAGCAAGACTAATTTCTGGACAGAAAGGTTGAGAAGACTTGAGGAAAGTGCTAATATAATGGTGAATAGGATGAAAGTGGCAATCAAATGCCATAGCTCTGTAGTTTGTTAGGAAATGATTTTGGAGGAAAAATAATATCTCTTAATAACCTTCAGCTTCAGTTTCTGCATTTACAATACAAGGGAAATACTGATACATATAGGAAACTTTACATAGTTCTTATGAGGTTAAAATGAGTCTTGATACAGAGAATTACTATTGTTGGTTTTGCAAACAATAATTAATAAGACTTTTCAAGTTCATACAGTCAAGAAGACAGAAAAAAGTTTTAACTCAGGTGAAATGTAAGATACACATATAAATGAAATATAATTGGAACCCTTTTTCAAAAGGGGAATGAAAAATATTTCATTAGATGTTAATAGGAGGGAGACAGAAGGTGAACCAAAGCCACACAAAAGGAAGGTTAATCAGTAATGAAAGCCAAGGAAAAAGCATTCCCAGGGCAGAGAGGTACAGGGTACTGGTGGGAAAGGGATTTACGTAACGTTCAGTATGCTAAATGCCAATATGATCTTACTGAGGTGCCCAGTGAGGAAGTGGAAGTCAGTAAACTCAATTCTTCATTCAACATTTAAAAAGTATCTGAGGAGCACCAAATAAGGCATTAGGTTGGTTCTGGGCACTGACAACAACAGTGACTAAGAAAAGTTCCCTGTCCTCCTAAGACTTAATTCTAACGTTAACAGTAAGAGAGGAAATAGACATATGCAGTATCTAGGTACCTATTATAAGTTGCAAGTACTATTCCAGGCACACAAGGTACACACCTCCTACCCTCATGTAGCTTACATGTGGAGAGAAGACAAACATGAGCAAGAAATCAAACAGTGGCTAAGTATCAAAATGAAATATCACACAGGGTCATGTTCCAGAGAGCTCGGCAGAGGCAGCTGGTTTAGGCTGGCTCGTCAAGGAATGTCTGGATGAGAATGGACCTCAAGGACAGGAAGATGCAAGCTGTCCTGTGATGGTCTGAGGACAGGGCATTCCAGGAAGGAAGAGCACATACAAAACTTCTTAGTTGGAAATGATTTTGGTGTGTGTGAGAATCACACAGAAGAAACACTGTGGCAAGGGCAGAGTAGGGGGAGGACTTGCCTGTGGTAAAGTCACAGATTAGACAGAGATCGGGTTATGTGGGATAAGGCACAGCTTTAGAAAGGAGATTGGGTTTTACTCTCAATTTCGCATGTAGTGAAAAGCAAAGCCAGCCCGACATGTGGAAGAAGGGACTGAGTGATGTCTCGTGGGTCCTATGGGAAGATGTTTAGAACTGTGAAAGTAGAGTAGGGCTACTAGGAGGAAAGAGATTGACGAGTAAAGCCTTGGCCAGGTACAGGAAGCAGAACAATAACATCACACACACACACACACACACATACACTGAAAAAAACAAAAAGAAGCAGATCACCATCCTAATTTCAGGAACCTGTAACTACGCTTTTTTTTATGATAAAAGAGACTACAGATGTTAAAGGTCTTGGGATGTGGAGATCATCTGGGGTTATATAGGTTGGCCCAGTGGAATATCACAAGTTGCTTCCAAGAAGAAGATAGAGCTCAGAGGCTTCAGGATATGTGACAGCTGAAGTTAGAGGCTGCAGTGATACAAAGAGGGACCACAGGCCTAGGGATGGAGGTGCCTTCTAGAAGCTCGAAAAGGGAAGGAAACAGATTCTCCTCTCCTCCAGAAGGAATGAAATCCTGCTGGCACCTTGATTTTAGCCCAGTAAGAAGTCTGACTCTAGAACCATAAGGTAGTAAGTTTGTATTAGTTAGTGGGTATTTTGCTATTGCATCAAAATCAAATGACAAGAGAATTTCAAAAGAAGGATAATAAACAAGAATGTTATGGCTGGAAAAACGAGAAGTTCTGGTCATTTGAGTGTAAGACTTCATAGAGAAAGCTGTCTGTGAGGATAAACCCAAGGGCCTCACAGACTAAAAATGAATATGGCTGAAGCTGCTGCACCTGAAAAGGTCAACAAATGTTGAGTTTCAGACTACAAAAAGACTAAATAACTGGGGAAGAACAATCATAGCATAGTGAATACAATCACATGCAAAAGTCCTCAATGAAGGAGGCATAATGAGAGAACTCTCCTCAACATGGATAGAAAACTGTGTAATTCTGCACAGTGAAATTCAAATGAGAAAGGGAATGTTACATGAGATCAATACAATTTTAAAGTGGCTCTGTAAAACTAGAGAAATGTCAATACCATCACTAATTCTTGATAAGGAGTCCAGGGACTTCAACTTCACAGGCAAAAGTAACACAAACAAAAAGCCAAACCACTAAGAGAAAAATCAGGACCCTAAAATCACAGAAGGTAACAGAAGAAATAATATGGTGGACAGGGTCAAGGGCTGCTGAATGGTCAAGACAGAACTTTTAAATGTCCACTGAATTTCAAGAGTGGTGTGGACAGAAGCAAAATTCCGTAATTTGAAAGCTGGAAGGTGACACAAAAGACATGAAGCTTAGGCAACTCGTGTGTAAAGGGTCTGGGTGGGGGCCTCCAAGAGGAAGTCAGGAAAATGAGAGACTTAACCAGTCAGCACTGATGGCAGAGTGGGAAGGTGAAGACACAGAAGAGAAAGAAAGATGATGATGATATCAGACCCTTGAGAAGACAGATGAGGGCAATGTGCAAGTGAGTGCCTTGTTTTTAAAACCGAGTGTTCCCTCTGTTTCAACAGAAAAAAACTGCAGAAGGAACAGATCCAAAACAAGGTAGGTTTGTATTACTACAGTTGTAAAGATCAAGGAGTGGTTCTTCATGTAACAATAAAAGTCACTCTAGGTAGGAGGACCAGGAATGTGCACAGGTAGATACATGAAGATGGCAAAGTCCTCCACGAACACTGATCAGAAGACAACGGCATCAACAAAGGATTCTTCAATTCCAGTCAACAACAGTTTAAGCAATCATAAGCTGTTATAAACAAATACAGGTATTCAAAGCAACAAAGTGCGGCCAGGCAAAGTCTGGGCCTGGGCTTGCCTATTTATTAGTTATGTGACTCTGACTTTGATTCCATTTCTAAACTCTGAACCTGTTTCCTCATCAGGAACACAAGGATAACATTAGCTCCTAAGTGATAGGATTATCATGAGGATAAATCAAATTATGTATGTAGGGTACTTAACTATCTAATACTTAACATTGATAACTATTATCTACTTGAGGAATACTGATGCTTCAGTAAGATATGTACTGTAGAGAGCTTGGGTTGAATCTGCAGCACAATTCTGGCAAGCATGGATAATCTTTGAGGAGTTTGTTTTGTGCAGGAACTTCAGCCCAACTTTTATATTTCTTAATCTTATTTCTACTTTTCCAATTTCTTCACTTGCTTTCAAGTTTATTCTACTTTTGTGTTTCTACAAATGCTTACATGAAACCTAATATAAATAAAAACTAGTAAAAAAAGTTTGATTCTATTTCTTCTTGGGAAAGAAGAAATACCTTGGGAAAACTAAAGTCTGAGTAAAACTAAGTTACCAGACATTGTGTGCAGGAAGGAGTCCTGCTGTGTTCAGAAAGACCTCCGTATAAGGTTAACCCTTGGCTGGCGTCTAGGACTTCGTCTTGGGGATGGTCACCACCAGTCTCATTGATAAAGGTGGCCAAACTACTTGTACAAGCTGTAGTTTATGTTGAATATCTTCCTTCTTTCTGGCTGTAGAATTTTGGTACATGCTGGAAAGCTACAAATAATGAAAACTAATGCACAGGACTGGAGGTGAAACAGCACGTATGAGGTTTAATTCCCAACACCAAAAAAAAAGAAAAAAAAGGGGGGCGGGGAATAGATACAAAAACAAACAAAAAACTAAACTATAGAAGATGAAAATGTCTTGGTATCAAAAGAACAAAACTAAAATTAAATTTAGGGGTAAATTCAATTTTAACATAAAAGTTTCTTTCCACAAGAATGTAAAAATGAAACCTTAAACCAAAATTGTGACTCAGTTTTGTGACTCATATAGTCTTTCAGTAAATGACTGTCTAGTCTCATCTCCCTAAAATCCCAAAGCAAGTAGAGACAGAATAAAAGAACATCAGCAATAGCAACTGTAGTACATGAAGGTGAGGAGGGTGTAGGCAGCCACAGAGTTCAGTGCAAAAGTCCTGTGAGTGTGTTTCCTACTCATAGCTATGTTTATTTTCAAATATTAAGATCCATTTTCAGGACAGTCCTCCCATGCCCATTTTGAAAAGTGCTTGCTGCACAATTTATAAATTATAAAGGGCTATAAAACTTAACTGGTTCAGTAGTTTCCATATCCCAGTACCTGGGATAGTTCACCTCCACAGTTAAGTTCACCTAACTTTGTGTCTTAGAAAAAAAGAAGTAAAGATCCAAGAGGAAAGAGATAATCAATTACAAACATATCCCAAAATTCCTATTTAATTCCAAGATCAAAGAAAAGATTCTAAATAATCCCCATGAAACCAGAAAATGTAATGAAGAATTATGTTAAGGTTTTCAAGTTCTAGATTTTAGCTATTCAGCAAGGAGGAATAATGGCATATGCTAAGTCACAGTAACAAATAGTCCACTGCTATATTTTATTATTATTATTATTATCTGCTCTTGGGACTTTGACTTCAAACCTGCCAGGATTACAGATCCATAAAAGATGCACACAATATAGCTTGCTCTATCCCAATGGCAAGCAATTGTACTTGGTCTATCCCAGTAGCAAAGACCATCATTCAGTGAATTGTTTGTGCAAGCAACAGATCTCTGGCAACATAACTAAGACTGAAATCTACTCCAGCAAGGGTGGCTGCAGATATTCCATTTACATGGCAAATTATGATGAGCATTTCTCTGAAAATAAGCTAAATCCAACCAATTCATTTTGCCTCTCATTACCAGATTCTCTAAGAAATACCTCTTTTCTAGGGGAAGAAAAGTTAACTTTTCAAAGTATTTTGAATAGTGAACAAATCCAAAACTCACCATGGCAAATGCACTGACAGTTGGTTTCTTTTCCTTCTTCTTTTTACTAAAAAAACACATTAAAGGAATTACACAAAACTTTTTAAAATTACACAATTTTAAAAATTGCTAAATTAGTTTTCAGCGCTTATATTTGGTGACAATTGGATCAAAAATATGCTTATATTACTCAGTAAAAAAAAAGCTTCATAGTATAATTTATAAAGTTTAAATATAAATATGTTTACATGTATCTTAGATATCTACATATGGTTATCACTGGATGTTGGGATTTCTACTAAAAAAAAATGTTCTTCCCTGTCTTTGCCTAACTCCTAGTTCTCTATGATGAACACACATACATCCTTCACAATTAAAAAAGAATCCATACTAAAATAAGTGTTCCTCTTTTTACTTAAATAGAAAATCACTCATTTCCTCTGAAATAAATTTTCTTAATTAATATCTGAGTAATTCCAAAAGTAGTCTATGATATGTGAAAAGGCCATTCTTAGGCATTAAAAGGCCAGCTATTATTCTGAGTCCAGATTCAAGTAACTCTAACTCAATACTAAAGCTCTCTACTGTATGCAGCTGCCAGCTCAGATGTGAGAACAAACCAATCAGAACAAAACAGCCTCAATTTCATATATAGAAAAGAAAAACTCTTAGAAAATAGCATTATTTTTGCTAAGATTTTTAAGTTCAAAATTTAAATTCATCTCTGTCTTTGTTCTTTACCATAAGTAAGATCAGAAGAAGCAAAGACTCCTACAGACAAAGTCCAAAGTTTCCTCATATCTGGCTTTGTAGTGGTGTTGGACAAGAATACAGGAGCATCTTCATATTTGGCCCCAAACTAATACCAGGGAAGGCATGATGTCAGTGCCCCTGGCGACAGACAAGAGGATGAAATACCTATAAATAGCTGAGTTTTTAGCACTGAGGTTTTCAGTTTTTTATTCTCTAAAATTGATGCTGCTTTGGAGAATGTATACTATCAATAATATTTATAATATTCCAAGAATGTATAGTATCAATAATATTTATAATATTCCAAGCAGTAGCAGTAGCTAAGAATTTTCCACACATAATTCATAAACAACTCAGGCAAAACTCCGTCCTTTTTTTTTTTTTTTTTGGTACCGGGGATCAAACTGGGGTCCTTGCACTTGGCAAGGTAGGCAGCAAAACCACTGAGCTAAATCCCCGGCCCTCTCTGTCCTTCTTTTAGAGATAAGAGAACCACAGAAGAGTGAGAAAAGTTAGCTGACTCGTCCAAGGTCTCACTACTGGAATGGAACCAAAATTTAAACTGCAAAGTCTGTCTCCACCACCAAATCGTTAAGCCGAGACCTCGAACTTCTGAGACACTGCACTGCATGGGGATACACGTGCACAGGAACCCTCCCCCTACCATTCAGCGCCATCAGCAGGAAACAGTTGACAGAGGCAAGTCGCTCATGAAACATCATTTTAATGAAGAACGTTGGTATGAACACAGATACTCCAGATTGCATAATCTATTAGCAAAGCCAAATGCTTTCTACAAGCCCATGTTAAAATGCATAGTTTTAAGAACAGATTAAAATCAATGGTGATGAGCACAGTTTAGTAATAACTATTTAACATTTTAAAAATTTATACTTTGAAGTCTTTAGGCCATAGTAGTAACAATGCAGGATCAAACAATTTTGTTTGCCATTTCTCTCCATATATCTTCAATACTTTGTACTTATCCAACTGTGATTTAAGAACATATTTCTTCTGCCTCGTAAGTGCAAGGTCCCAAGTTCGATCCCCGTAACCAAAACAAAACAAAACAAAACGAACATATTTCTTAAGCTACCATGTTTTGAAAAAAGTTAAAAACAAAAATTAGTGGTGCGTGCCTGTAATCTCAGCACTCTGGGAAGCTGAGGCAGGAGGAGCACAAGTTTGAGGATTGGGAATATAGCTCAGTGCAAAAATCATTGGTTCAGTCTCCGGCAATGGGGGGGGGGGGGAAGTAAGGTACCCTTGTGTTTAGGATTTCAGAATCATTATTTTCTTAAAGCTCAAACTGTCCCAAACTTGACTAGTGGAGGTCCCCTGCAAGTCCCTGCTCCTCTTGTGTGTTTTGATTACTCTATCGAACTCCCCTTCAGGGTACTACAACATATCCGGACTCACTTTGTATTTTCCCTGCCCCAAAACCCAGCTCAAAGTCGCTTTTTTTTATGGGGTGCTCCTTTGTTTCAGTGAGGAATGGCATTCAGAAACCCACATCTGGTAATAAGAGTGCTTATTTCTACAGTCCTTTCAATTGACTGAAAATGAACAATTAAAAAATCACGAGTTCATATTGAGGTTTCCAATTCAAATTTCACATTACTTTTTAAATATTTGATTTATACATTTATATTTTTTCACTTATGCTGGAAAGCTTAGTCTTACTAATATTACTATACTTACTTGTTTTATCTTACAATTTACATTACAGTTTTTTACTATTAATGAACATACTGAGTGAAGTTTAAAATTTCCCATATAGGCAGAGCACCATGAACAAAAATGTGCTTGAAAGAACTATTTCTTCTCTGTGGTCACATTCCATTTTATATACACATAGTTATTCCGTTACAACTACAAAAGGTAAAAACAACCCAAATGTAGTGTTGGCTTTCCGTCTTCTTCTGCCATGCCACAAGCCTGCAACGTTCATATGCTTATTAATCACAAGCAAGATGGTGGACCCACGCAAAGCCCAAGCAGAATATGTCTCAAGTGCGTGCGACACGAACAAAACAAAATTTTTAAAAAGATGGTGTGGCCAATGGCCTGTCTGGAGGTGGACATCTGTGGCGGAGCCTCACCAAGACCCAGGGCGCCAAGGACCTTCTGCTCTAAGCCGGCACTGCTTTCAAAGGGTGCTAAAATTAGAATCACCACTATCACCCATTATTTATTTCAGACCTGGAGACTAAACACAAATTGCCTGTCTCTCGAACTGTAAAAGTAAAGCAAGCCTGTAAAGTAAAGTAAAGCTACCTTTTCTCGCCCATCTTCAACTTCTTCCCTGCTCCTCCACTGGGTTCCTCTGCACCGCACCGTACACCGCGGCGCCCTAGGAGTCTCCACAGCCAAAGGCGCAGCACTGGACGAGGTCAGAGGTGCGGGGGGGCGCTCGGGCCAGCTCTCCTCGCCCCGCCCCGCGGCGGCCTCCGGCGGCGCCAGGCCGGCCAGAGCAGCCCAGCCGCAGCGCTCTGCGCGCGCCAGCCCGTCCCGCCGGGAGGGTTTCCTCGCCGCCGCCCTCCAGAGCCTTCGGCCCCGCAGTTCCGGTAGTCGGAAAGCCAGATCCTTCCGGCCCGGCCCGCGCCCACCCCGGGCTCGCGGAGCGCACGGGCGGGACCCGGCCGCAGTCTGGGGGGAGCTGGGTCCGCGCGGGCGGGCGGTGGGCGGCGGCCTCAGCTCCGCTGCCTGCCGCCTTCAGCCCTCCTCGCCCGCCCGGAGGGAAGCTCTGCATCAGCCTGGCCACGCGGAACGCAACCGATGCCCAAGTTACGCAACAGGTGGATTTCTAGGAGTGTCTTGGCCTCTGTGCTTCCGGCAGGGGCGCTGGGACACTCGGGCGCACTTACGGACCCATCCCCACAGTCCTTGGGTGAAGAGCGTGGGTACACAACGGGCCTCGGGCGGACAGCGAAAGGGACACTTCCCGGCCCAGAAAACAGCATCGCACCTTTCCTAGTCTGTCAATTTCCCTTCCCTGCAACACTTTCAAACGGACAGGGAGAGATTTTTTTCTGCCCCAAGCTTCCTTCAGTGTGCCTGACAGTTTGGGATAGATCACATCACCTCTTCTGAGATAAACGATGACTACAAAGGAAGACTTTCGCATACGTTTACACGAACATGAGTATTTCAGAAAAGAAAGACTATTTAAAAGTGTGTAGTGTTTTAAACGTTAGCTGATAAATCAATGTCTGTGTTTTCCCCAGACTATTTCAAGATCCTTACTTTAATTTGAATTGTTAAACATTGTAGCATATTGTTTTAATTGTAATTTCTTTATTTACTACTAATATTTTGTGATGTCCAATATTTTCTAGAAAATAATCAAGTAAATGTAATCTTCACAATTCAGATTCATGAAGCAATATTAACTCACACCAGAGCTTTTTATGCTTCTTTGAAACATAGAAGAAAATGTTGCTTATAACTTTTAGTCTTCATTCTCTGGGTTACACATGTTGCTGCTCAGCTTGCTGCAGACATGTAGAAGAATGAAATATCCTTTACTGCATAACATAAGGCTGTTTCCTCTACTTTTTATAACTAGCATACTTCAAAGCCATACTTTCCTTTCTTTTACTCCAAATTCCCCTTGACTTGTCTTTTCTTTCTTTGCTATATAATCAAGTTTCTTTTCCTTTGCAACGCTGTTTTTTTAATAGGTTACTACTTTTTCTCTGCTCCGATTAAATAGCACATGTACATCATCTGTTCACAGCATACAGGTTTACCAACCTGTGCCCATTCGCCTGTGACGCTCCAAGCAAAGTTTCATCTTCATGCATGCATTTCTACTCACGCCTCTGCTCTGTGTCCACTTGGTTCCCTTATTTCCCTGTGATGATTAATTATGATTATCAACTTGATTGGGTTAAGATAAGTCATCAGATTATTATTTTTCCCTTTTTATTTTATTTTTAAATTAATTTTATTGGTACATTTTAGGTATAGAGTATAATGGCATTCATCATTGGAAATTTGCACCTTAATCTCTCTTGGTTCTTATTTTTCCCCCTTCCCCTGCCCTCCCTACAACCCCTACATCCCTCCCTATTTACATACCTAGTTTCCATTTTTTCATTTTCTCCTAATAATTCCATTCCCTTCTTTCCTTTCCCCTACCCCTTCCACTTCCCCTTTCCCTTTGCCCCTTTTCTTCCTATTTCATATTATCTATTATAAATTTTAGCCCTTATTTACACTTTCAGTTTCTCACACTAGAGAAACTATTTGGTATTTACACATGTGTGTCCTATTTATTTCACTTAAGAGTATGG